CTTGTTACCCAGGCTGGAGTGCAATGGCGCGATCTCGGCTCACCGCAACCTCCGCCTCCTGGGTTCAGGCAATTCTCCTGCCTCAGCCTCCTGAGTAGCTGGGATTACAGGCGCACGCCACCATGCCCAGCTAATTTTTTGTATTTTTAGTAGAGACAGGGTTTCACCATGTTGACCAGGATGGTCTCGATCTCTTGACCTCGTGATCCACCCGCCTCTGCCTCCCAAAGTGCTGGGATTACAGGCTTGAGCCACCGCGCCCGGCCTGTTGTAGGGTTTAAAAAATTTTTTTTTCTTTGCTGTGCACAAGCTGTTTAATTTGATACAGTCTCACTTGTTTGTATTTTTTGTTGCTGTGCTTTTGATGTCTTATCATAGGTTACTGTCAAGACCAATGTCAACAAGATTTCTTTTTTTTTTTAATATGTTTTCTTCAGGAGTTTTAAGGTTTCATGTCTTACATTTAAGTCCTTCATTTTGAGTTAATTTTGGGGTATGGTTTAAGAAAACGATCTACTTTTATTTTTTCACTTGTGGATATCCAGTTTTTCTGGCACCATGTATCAAGAAGACTGTACTTTCTGCATTGTATATTCTTGGTGGCCTTGTCAAAGATTACTTGACCTTGTATTCCTGGTTTTGTTTCTGGGCTCCCTATTCTGCTCCGTTGGTTTTTGTATCAATTTTTATGCACATACTATACTCTTGATTACTATAACCTTTAAATAAAATTTGAAATTAGAGAGTATGATGCCCCAGCATTGTTCTTTCTCAAGATTGCTCAGGTTATTTAAAGTTTTTGTAGGTTACACTTATATTGTACAATTGTGTTTTCTATTACTGTGAAAAATGCCACTAAAATTTTGATAGGGATCACGTTGAATCTGTAGATCATTTTGGATAATATGATACTTTGACAGGGTTAGTTATCCTAATGGAATATGTTTCCATTTATTTGTGTCTACTTCAATTTCTGTCATCAATCTTATTGTATTTAATGTATATATTTTTTATTTAATTGGTTAAATTTATTTTTATTAAATTTCTTTTTATACTATTGCAAATGGCAATTATTTCTTTTTTTGGAAAGTTTACTGTATGGAAATGCAACAAATATTTGTATATTGGGCCAGGTGCTGTGTCTCATTTCTGTAATCCCTGCACTTTCAGAGTCCAAGGCAGGTGGATCACTTGAGGACAGAAGTTTGAGATGAGTCTGGGCAAAACAGTGAGACCCTGTCTCGGAAAAAAAAAACAACAAAACCAAAACCCACAAGTATTCGTATATTGATCATGTATCCTGATACTTTAATGAATGCATTTCTTAGTTCAAAGATTTTTTGTTGTTTTACCCTAGGGATATATAAATATATATATATATATGTGCATATACATACACATATATATATGTATATGCATGATCATATTATCTACAAACAGTAACATTTTTACTTCTTTTCCAAGCTGGAGAGCTTTGTTCTCCTTTTCCTTGCCCATTGTTCTGAAAGAGACTTCCAGAAATAAGGTAAGATAGAAGCTGTGGCCCTGGAGGCAGACCTGCAGATCTTGGCCTCAGCTGTGGTCTCTGAAGCAGCCCTGTGTCTGTACATTTGAAGGATCTAACAATGATTATAGTTTCTATAAACTATTTTTGACAGGTAAAGATCTCCTGTTTGTTTGATCCGCAGGCTGATGATATTATTACCTCTGAGTTTGCAGAGAAGGGTTGTAGCTAGGTCACAAGGATACTGCTGGGTCTAATGTGGGGTCTGCCTTTGATGGTTGTGTTACCAGAGATTTGGACAGTCATGGATTCTTCGTAGGCTCTGGAAAGATTAAATATCCTTGAGGACATTAATCTATATGGCAGGCAGTAGGGTTGGGTTTTGAAGTTTGTCTGCATATAATGGACCAAATACCAAGTGTGTGAATGGGTTTGGCTTCTGACTACCTGGGAACAGTTTTCACAAGTCTCTATGTGGTTCCCAGAGTGTATGCAACTAGCCACAGACTGTGACTGTGAGGGTTAGAACTGAGTCACAGGTCTGCTTCAAGGAGCACAGCTGAGGCCAAGATATATAGGCCTGCCTCCAGAGTTTTGGCTGGGTGTGTCTCCCTGCAAGTCTCTTGATGGGAAGGACCACTTGTGGACTGTAACTGAGAGGAGTTTGAGATAGTTGCAGAACTGCTTCATAATTTTCAGTAAGACAAAGCTTGGTGCACCATTTCCCTATCTGTAGCCATGTCTATGGGCCCTTGAGTTGGCCACCTGGGTGAGGGCCTGCTTTTCCTAAATAACCCTCCTTGAGTTCTGGCTCCACTGAGGTTTCACAACTCGAACCATAGGCAAGCATCTTTCTAATTCTGTTTCCTAGTTTACTACTTAAAATATTGTATAAAAGTGGAATCATACACTATCACTTTGTTGGTGTCTTATTTCTCTTAAAATAATGGCTTTAAGATTTATCCTAATTGTAGCATCTGACGATATTTTTATTTGAGACTAAAGAATATTTTATTATATGTATAAACCACATCTTTTTAAATCATTTATCCATTGAAGGATGTTTGAGTTTTTTTACTTTTTGGCTTTTGTAAATGATAAGGTTTGGATCTGCGTTTTTATTCAAATCTTATGTCAAATTGCCATCCTTAATGTTGGAGGTGGGGCCTGGTGGGAGGTGATTGGGTCATAGGGTTGGCTTATCATGAATGGTTTAGCTTAGCTCTTTTGGTACTATCTTGCCATAGTGAGTGAGTTCTCCTGAGGTGTCATTTTTCAAAAGCATGTGGCACCTCTTCTCTCACTCTCTTACTCCTGCTCCTACCATATAAGATGACTCACCGTCCCTTCGCTTTCTGCTATGGTTGGAAACTTTTTGAGGTTTCCCTGGAAGCAGAAGCTGCTGTGCTTTCTGTACAGCCTGCAGAACAATGACCCAGGTAAACCTCTTTTATTAAAACAAATTACCCAGTCTCAGGTATTTCTTTATAGCAATGCTGGAATAAACTAATGCAGTGAATATTGCTGCAGTAAACTAGGATGTACAAATATTTCTTTCAGGTACACTTTGCATATTTTGAATAGATGCTCAGAAGTGGGGCTGGGCATGGGGGCTGATGCCTGTAATCTCAGTATATTCTTGACAGCTTTGTCAAAAATAAGTTTGCCATAGATATATGGATATGTCTGCATTCTCTCTACTGTTTCACTGATCAGTTTCATGCTGTTTCAATTACTGTAGCTCTGTAGTATCATTTAAAGTGAAATACTGTGATTCCTCCAGTTTCTTTTTTTCTTACAATGGCTTTGGCTATTCTGATTCTTTTGTGGTTCTGTCTACATTGTAGGATTGTTTTTTCTATTTCTGTGAAGAATGGCATTGATGTTTTTCTAGACGTTGTAATAAATCTGTAGATTGCTTTGGGTAGTATGGACATTTTTAAAATGTTGATTCTTCCTATTCATGAACATAAAATATTATTCAGTTTTTTATCTTTTTAAATTTCTTGCATCAGTGTCTTATATTTTATAGTACTCATTGTAGAGATTTTTCACATCTTTGCTTAATTCCTAGATATTTAATTTGTGGCTATTGTAAATGGGATTACTCTTTTGATTTCTTTTTCACATTGTTCACTGTTAGCATATAGACACACTACTAATTTTTTATTTTATTTTATTTTATTTATTTTTTAAAGACAGGGTTTCACCATGTTGGTCAGCCTGGTCTTGAACTCCCAACCTCAGGTGATCCACTCACCTTGGCCTCCAAAGTGCTTGGATTACAAGCGTGAGCCACCACGCCTGGCCGTCACACTACTAATTTTTTAATCCTTTTTTTTTTTTTTTTGAAAAGTCTCGCTGTGTCACCCAGGCTGGAGTGCATTGGCATGATCTCTGCTCACTGCAACCCCTGCCTCCCAGGTTCAAGCAATTCTCCCGCCTCAGCCTCCTCTGTAGCTGGGACTACAGGCGTGAGCTAATTTTTGTATTTTTTTAGTAGAGATGGGGTTCCACCATATTGGCCAGGTTGGTCTCAAACTCCTGACCTCAGGTGATCCGCCTGCCTCGGCCTCCCAAAGTGCTGGGATTACAGGCATGAACCACCACTACCAGTTGGCTTTTAATCTTATATCTTGACTAAATTCAATTAATTCTAATAGTGTTTTAATGAATTAGGTTTTTCCAAATATAAGACCACATCATCTGCAAACAAAGATAATTTTACTTCTTCCTTTCCAATTTGGGTGCCCCTTTTTGCCCTCTTATTGCTCTAGTTAGCACTTCTAGTATGATTTTGAATAACAGTGGTAAAAGTGTGCATCCTTTGTGCCTCTTCTTTTGTCTTCTTCAGATACAGACACCTTATCAGAATGGTTTTGGGTTTAGGCTCCCAACTTTACAGGGTAATTTGTCCTCAGCCATCCTTTTGTCTTTTCCTGGTCCTAAGCTTCAGAACTGTCTAGGGACGATCTCACATGCCCACAGTAGCCATGTCTCGTGGAGTGTTTAGGGAATAACAGTTCCTGCACCATTTCCTTATAGTGGATGGCCTGAGGTATGGGGTGGACCCTCTCAGGGGAGCAGCTAGGTGCCCTGGTGCTCAGAGCACGCTGTGGTTTACACTTCATTTAAAAAGCCACATCCTCGTGACATTAAGATTTTCTTTTTCCCATCCACTTTCCAGTTTTTTGGAGACACGTTGCTGTTCGGCCAATGGAATTCTGATATTGAGGGGAAAGGCAGAAATAATTTCCACCATCTGGATTTTTTTCAGAATTGTGAAGGAAGAAAAAGATAATATCCTCGAAGACAAAGTCCATTCTAGCAAGATGGTGCAAGGACCTGCCCAAAAAAAAAAAAAAAAAAGTATGTACTCCAGGCACACAGGGGGATGCAGTGCAGAGGCTCTTGGGGTGGTCATTGAGTACTTCAATGAGAAGGATGAAGGTGGGAGGATGTACATAATAGGACAGAAAACCCGACTTGACACATGAGTCAGACATATCATTATTTCAGCCAGTACTGCCACTCCTTGGGTTTGTTATCTTGAAAAAATTGTTTACTTATTTTAACTTCCATTTTTATTAATTGTACAATTCATTTTATTGATAGAGCTTGAAAAATAGGAAAATATTCTCAAAGAGGCATACAAATGTGAATTCAAAAAATGTCTAGTGATTTGTTAAAAATTTTTTCATTTTTCCCTTGAGGGTGTGTAATAAGTTTTTGAGATTTGTACATTTTGGGAGTGGTTTCAAACAGAACCTCAGGGCTTTAGTTATGGGAATGTTACTGGGTAAAAAAAAGTAGGAAACATTTCCTTTATGGGTAGAGACGTGTACCCAATTTTTAGGTACACTTCCGTAAATCACCAATTTATCTGGTACATCTTTGTAAATCACCAATTTATCTACCATAATTTCTTATAAAAAAGTGTACCCAATTTTTAGAAGAAATTATGGTAGATAAATTGGTGATTTACAGAGATGTGCCAAAACATCAGTTTCTCTTTTCTGCATGGTGGAGACTTTGTGATAAAGAATAAGTCTGCTCTGTATCCTTTTATCTGGATGTCTGAATTTAATGTTAAATTTTATGGAATAGGACTTGACATTCCTGATAATGTTCATGTATGATTACTTATTTGTTATTATGGAAATAATACCTAAACGACATGTTTATTGTCTGAAATGGATATTTTGACTTTTCTCATTGAAGTATAAAATGTAAGCGCCTTACAATCTCCTTTCCTCCTATAAATATAAGCACTGAGGTTGAGGAATTTTGCTGGATTCTTTAAACACTTGAGTTATTTTATATAAAAACTAAGTGAAAAACTGGGAATCAGAGACCTAAGCCTATTGACTGCAAGGCAAGGCCAGTCTTGACTCAGCCAAAGGAGGTCATCAGTAGCCCAGTAGTTTCTTGCTGGGGAACCTTTTCTGCAGGTGGTCCAGCCTGGCTCAAATTAGACATGAAAGGAGCCTTTATATTGAGAGGCTACAGGCGCCTGGAAAGCTGGGTATCCACAGGCAGATGCAGTGAGAGTTGGGATGGGAGGAGGGTTGTGATGTCCTCTGAGAGGGTGTAATTTTTATTGTCATGAGGCTGTTTCTAGATATCATCAAGTAAAAAATATTGATATAGGAAAGAAGTGACTTTATTCTAAGGAGTATTGCAATGGAAAAAGCACAAAGCATAAGACCTGCAAGCATGTCCAAAATGAGGCAGATAAGGGCTGGTTTCTCATATGAAGAGCAAACAAGATTAGAAAGAAGGTGGGAGAGAGGAGAGAGAGAAAGAATGTTTCACCCTGAAGTCAGCCTGTTTTTGGGAAGGGAAGGAAGAGGGGTTGTATGCTGGCTGAGACTGAAGGTGGAGCCTGAGGGAAGGAGAGAAACTTGAGCAGTTTAGCTAACAGGTATTCTGCTCTGAACACTGAAGACACAATTATTTAATTGTTTATGAGGGAAAAATGAGAATGTAGAGCCTGTGAATTTGTGATATCTAAAGAGGGAGCATCATCAAAGTCATAATGAAAAGGGTATTTCCTTACAGTAAGCTTTTCTTGCAGAGAAAAGCTTACTGTAAGGAAATTGGAAATTACTGCAAAGGATTGGAAAGATGTATAACTACCACAATTCACTACCCGCCTCATGCTTTCCCTGCTTTTCTTTCTCGTATACATTTTTTCCTTTTGGCTTTTACCGAGTTGTATCCAGTATAATAACCTGGTAAACATAGGTAAAGTGTTTTTGAGTTGTATCCAATATAATAACCTGGTAAACACAGGTAAAGTGTTTTTGCCAAGTTCTTTGTAGTTTTATCAAATCTTTTAACTTGAAGGAGGGAGTTATGGAAGCCTATGATTTATAGACAGTTGCTCAGAAGTAGCAGATGGGCCCCTGGGGCTTGTGACTGCCATGTGTAGTGGAAGCAGTGTTGTGGGGCTGAGCCCTGAGTTAGCGGGTTCTTTGCTGACCCTGGGTGTTGTCTGAATTGAGTTGTTGGATGCCCAGTTTGTGTTGGAGAATTGGTTGGTGTTCAGAAAACTTCATATATTTGGTGTTAGACTAAAGATACTAGACTGGGTGCAGTGGCTCACGCCTGTAAACCTAGCACATTGGGAAGTCAAGGAGGGCAGATTGCTTGAGCTTAGGAGTTCAACACCAGCCTGGGCAACATGGCAAAATCCCATCTCTACCAAAAATCCAAAAAAAGTAGCTGGGCGTGGTGGCACACACCTGTATTCCTAGCTACCTGGGGAGGTGCTGAGGCAGGGGAATCCTGGGTGGTCGATGCTGCCATGAGCCGAGGTCACACCAGTGCACTCCAGCCTGTGTGACAAAGTGAGGCCCTTTCTCAAAAAAAATAAAGATTTCCCAGCAGCCTTGGCTGAAGGGAGACACTGGGTCTGTTGTAGAGTGGACAGGTTTTTTTGTTTTTTTATTTTTCTTTCTTTCTTTTTTTTTGGCTCACAAGCTGTCATACTGTTCTAGGTCTCCTCCAGGGGTCAAAGGGGACTGAGGACCTAAAGGAAGGAGTTCTGAGAGCAGACTCTTCCTTCCACCCTGCTGCTACAATGTGATTTCTGCATATTCACACACATGCATGCTAGGCAATAGTGTGGCCATGCTTCTCTCATGACAAAGCTTCACTCAGGAATTGTGTGTCTCTGCTTCTGGAGTTTTCTACTAAGAGGCCACATAAGTGTCCAGAAGGCTCATGGCTTTTTTATCCCTTCCAGATCTTGAATCTGTACCAGTAACTCCTGCAGTAGTCTAGGCTTCTGGATCACCTGACCATCTTATCTTCCTGCACGCACACATTTATAAGTTAGGTACCCTGTCTGGGCCAGTATCTGCAGCACTAACCAGTCCTTTCAGCAGCTGTGCACTGACCCTTGCCCATGGGTTCTTGATAGCACCTTTTCTTTCTTTCTTTTTTTTTTTTTTTTCCAAATCATCTTTTATTAATATAAAAAGTGGATATTTAGCAAAAGACACACAGAGAAAAGAGTCACTATGGCCCAGGACACAAGGCAAGCAGGTGCCAGACCTGAGTCCCTGCTGGGAGAGAGGGAGGCTCGGGACAAAGTGTGAGAAGTGCTGGGAGGGGCTGAGCAGTGGGGGCCACAGAAAGTTCCGGTGGGCAACACTGTCGGCAGGTCATGGGCCCGACTCACAGGGACCTCGCTGCTAACTCTTGTTGGGGGGGAGGGGGAGGGAGTTCTTAGTGCTGCCACCTGGAGTGAGAGCCGCCCTTTGGTTCCTGGAGGGCACCCACCAAGGGACACAGGACAGGAAGCCCAGGATGGCTAGTGCAACTCGGGATGATGGCCAGGGAGAAGCGGGTGCTCTGCAGTGCCCGGGAAAGTTCCGGACGCTGAGGCTGAGAGGCTTCCTGTTGCGTGCAGGCGTTCCGCTCTGTCTCTGCCAGGCACTGTCTGACTAGGGCCCAGGCATGGATGATACCTCTCTTCAGGCGCTCCATGGCACTCTTGCTGCCGGCATAGGTGGGCTGGATCTCTTTGCCCATCTCCTCTATGACCGACAGCAGGTCCGTGTAGGTGCTCTGGGAGCCCTGGGTGCCGGGTGGCTTCATCGCCTGCACATAGCCCATGGAAGGCGGTCCAAAGTCAACAGCGGTCTGAAAGGGGTGGCGGCTCCTGGCACTGAGCCCGACGGCGACGGCACGCTTCCTGTAGGGACCGGGGTGCCCGGCCCATGGGTGCTGGAGCCAGGGGTGCTGCTGGGGGCGGGGGCGATGGGTTTGTAGGACATCCCCAGCTCCTGGGCGCAGCGGACGCCAGCCGGCCGCTCCTCAGGGGATGGCCGCTGGGCCGCTCAGCCGCGCTCTTGATTCGATAGCACCTTTTCTTATTCGGCATTTTTCCCCACAGACTTTCCTGTGAACATGATATACCCAAGGTCACCCTGCAGGTGCCTAAATCCAAGCCCTGCTGGAAATCAGATGTCCATAAGTTCAAAGCAGAGTTTTTGGATGTGGGTATTGTAAATATACGAGCAAAATAGAAATAATAGATTTAGTCCTCCAACTGGAAAATAAAAGAAGTATATTTACTCTCCTCCCTTTTCTGAAAACCTTTGTTTTAGAAAATTTTTATCTGTAAATTCTTTCTCTGCCTTTTATCTTTTTTGTCTTTTAAGTCTCTAATTTGTTTCTATTAGAGGTCTAATTTTTATTATTTTATTATGCTAACATTGGGATTAGTTATTTTCAAGTGTTTTGAGGATTAAAGTTTCATTGTTTATTTGGGATCTTTTTTCTTAATAAAAAAATATATTACTATAAAATTCTTAGAACATCGTTTGTTACATTTCAGTTTTGATATGTCCTGTTTCTGTTTTCAGTTTTCTCAAGATACTTTGTGATTTTTCTTTTTCTTTTTCTTTTTTTTTTTTGTATTTTTAGTAGAGATGGGGTTTTACTGTGTTGGCCAGGATGGTCTCTATCTCTTGACCTTGCGATCCGCCTTCCTCGGCCTCCCAAACTTTTGGGATTACAGGCATGAGCCATCGCGCCCGGCCATTTTTCTTTCTTTTTCTTCTTTGACCCGTTGATTGTTCAGAAGCATGTTGTTTAATATACACATATTTGTCAGTTTTTGACTTTTCCTTGTAATGATTTCTAGTTTTATAAAATTGCGATTTAAAAACTTGATATGATTTCAATCTTTTTAAAAAATGAAAAGTCTTGTTTGTTTTTGTTGTGGCCCAGATTTATGATGTGTCCTGAAGAATGTTCCATGTGTGTTTGAAAAGAATATAAATTATACTGTTGAATGAAATATTCGGTGCATGTCTGTTAGGTGCAATTTTGTAGTGCTATACAAGTACATTTTTTTTACTAGCTTTCTGTCTGAATGATGTATTAAGTAGGGCAGTAAAGTCCCCTGTAATACCTGTCTGTTTCTTTCTCCAGTTTTGTTAATATGTGTTTATATATTTATGTGCTCCAGTATTTGTTACCTATATATATTTATTTTTTAACAAATTAGACTCATCACTATATAATAAAGTTCTTTTTTTCTGATAGATTTTTTTTCTAGAAGTCTATTTAGTCTGATGTAAATATAGCCACTCCTATACTCTATATTATTGGCATGGAATATTCTTTTTCTTTCTTTCTTTTTTTTTTTTTTTTTTTTGAGACGGAGTTTCGCTCTTGTTACCCAGGCTGGAGTGCAATGGCGCGATCTCGGCTCACCGCAACCTCCGCCTCCTGGGTTCAGACAATTCTCCTGCCTCAGCCTCCTGAGTAGCTGGGACTACAGGCACGTGCCACCATGCCCAGCTAATTTTTTGTATTTTTAGTAGAGGCGAGGTTTCACCTTGTTGACCAGGATGGTCTCGATCTCTTGACCTCGTGATCCACCCGCCTCGGCCTCCCACAGTGCTGGGATTACAGGCTTGAGCCACCGCGCCCGGCCGGAATATTCTTTTTCATCCTTGTACCATTAACCTATGTATGTCCTTAAATCTAAAATAAGTCTCTTGTTGATTTTTTTTTTTTAAATAATAAGTCTCAGGTAATGAAGTATGGAACTGTAGTGCTGATTTTTTAAATCTATTCAGACATTCTTTGAATGTTTTAGTTTATTTTTTACTTCAATAACAGAATATCCCAGAGTTGGTAATTTATAAAGAATAGAAGTTTACTTAACTGAGAATCCTGGATGCCAAGAAGTTCAAGAGCATGTCATTCCCATCTGATGAGAATCATACTTCCACATTACAACGTGACCAAAGGCTTGAGGATGACAGGTGTACATGAGAGCTCACTTTTATAATAGACTCACTCTCCTGATAACTAACCCACTGTGGAAATAATGATACTAATCCTTAGCTCTCATGACCTAATAAGTTATTAAGGGCCTCATTTCTTAATTTCTCACAATGGTAGTTAAATTTTAACGTGAATTTTGGAGGGAACACTCAAACTATAGCAGTGCGTTTTTATTGGATAACTGAATCTATATATTTAAAGGGATTACTGATTGATAAGAACTTATTTCTGCCATTTGTTTTAACGGTTTTCTGACCATTTAGTAGTTTCTGTTTTTTAATTCTTTCATGCTGTCTTCCCTTGTGTTTTCTTGAATTTTTGTTCTTAAATGCTTTCTTTTTCTTTTGTGTATCCACTAGTTTTTTTTTAATTTCCGAGAAGCTTATGTAAAACATCTCATAGCTATAAAATCTAACTTCAGATAACAATTTAGCTTTTTGTTTTGTACAGAATAAGGTCTTGCTTTGTTACCCAGGCTGTAGTGCAGTGGTTTTTTCATAGCTCAGTGCAGCTTCAACCTCTCCAGGCTCAAGCAATCCTCCTATCTCAGCCTCCCAAGTAGCAGGGACTACAAGCACATGCCACCATGTCTAGCTAATTTTTTTAGTATTTTGTATAGAGACAGGGTTTTGCCATGTTGCTCAGTCTGGTCTTGAACTTCTGGGTTCAAGCAATGCACCTGCCTTGGCCTCCCAAAGTGCTAGGTGTACAGGCATACAATATCAAGCCCAGCTCTTGCTTTTTTAAAAAAGATGAAATCGCTGTCTGGAATCTTTATTTTATTATTTTTTTTCTCCATTTATTTATTTTCTTGCATTTTAGGTTTTGGGGTACATGTGAGGAACATGGAAAATTGTTGCATACGTACACATGTGGCAGTGTGATTTGCTGCCTTCCTCCCCATCACCTACATCTGGCATTTCTCCCCTTCCTATCTCTCCCCAGCTCCCCACCCCCCACTGTCCCTCCCCTATTTCCCCCCAACTGACCCCAGTGTATAGTGCTCCCCTCCCTGTGTCCATGTGTTCTGATTGTTCAACACCCGCCTATGAGTGAGAACATGCGGTGTTTGATCTTCTGCTCTTCTGTCAGTTTGCTGAGAATGATGGTTTCCAGGTTCATCCATGTCCCTACAAAGGACCAAAACTCATCGTTTTTGATGGCTGCATAATATTCCATGGTGTATATGTGCCACATTTTCCCTATCCAGTCTATCGTCGATGGGCATTTGGGTTGGTCCCAGGTCTTTGCTATTGTAAATAGCGCTGCAATGAACATTCGTGTGCACGTGTCCTTATAGTAGAACGATTTGTAATCCTTTGGATATATACCCAGTAATGGGATTGCTGGGTCACATGGAATTTCTATTTCTAGGTCCTTGAGGAATCGCCACACTGTCTTCCACAATGGTTGAACTAATTTACACTCCCACCAACAGTGCAAAAGTGTTCCTATTTCTCCACATCCTCTCCAGGATCTGTTGTCTCCAGATTTTTTAATGATCGCCATTCTAACTGGCGTGAGATGGTATCTCAATGTAGTTTTGATTTGCATTTCTCTGATGACCAGTGATGATGAGCATTTTTTTCATATGTTTGTTGGCCTCATATATGTCTTCTTTTGTAAAGTGTCTGTTCATATCCTTTGCCCACTTTTGAATGGGCTTGTTAGTTTTTTTCTTGTAAATCTGTTTTAGTTCTTTGTAAATTCTGGATATCAGCCCTTTGTCAGATGGGTAAACTGCAAAAATTTTTTCCCATTCTGTTGGTTGCCGATTCACTCTAATGACTGTTTCTTTTGCTGTGCAGAAGCTGTGGAGTTTGATTAGGTCCCATTTGTCTATTTTGGCTTTTGTTGTCAATGCTTTTGGTGTTTTGGTCATGAAGTCCTTGCCTACGCCTATGTCCTGAATGGTTTTGCCTAGACTTTCTTCTACGGTTTTTATGGTGTTAGGTCTTCTGTTTTTTTCTTTTGAGACGGAGTTTCGCTCTTGTTACCCAGGCTGGAGTGCAATGGCGCGATCTCGGCTCACCACAATCTCCGCCTCCTGGGTTCGGGCAATTCTCCTGCCTCAGCCTCCTGAGTAGCTGGGATTACAGGCACGTGCCACCATGCCCAGCTAATTTTTTGTATTTTTATTAGAGACGGGGTTTCACCATGTTGACCAGGATGGTCTCAATCTCTTGACCTCGTGATCCACCCGCCTTGGCCTCCCAAAGTGCTGGGATTACAGGCTTGAGCCACCGTGCCCAGCCCCTGTTTAAGTCTTTAATCCATCTGGAGTTAATTTTAGTGTAAGGTGTCAGGAAGCGGTCCAGTTTCTGCTGTCTGCACATGGCCAGCCAGCTTTCCCAACACCATTTATTGAACAGGGAATCCTTTCCCCATTGCTTGTTTTTGTCTGGTTTGTCAAAGATCAGATGGTTGTAGATATGTTGTGTTGCCTCCGGGACCTCTGTTCTGTTCCATTGGTCTATATCTCTGTTTTGGTAACAGTACCATGCTGTTTTGATTACTGTAGCCCTGTAGTATAGTTTGAAGTCCGGTAGTGTGACGCCACCTGCTTTGTTCTTTTTGCTTAGAATTGACTTGGCTACGCGGGCTCTCTTTTGGTTCCATATGAAGTTTAAGGTGGTTTTTTCCAGTTCTGCGAAGAAGGTCATTGGTAGCTTGATGGGGATAGCATTGAATCTGTAAATTACTTTGGGCAGTATGGCCATTTTCACGATATTGATTCTTCCTAACCATGAACATGGAATGTTTCTCCATCTGTTTGTGTCCTCTCTTATTTCGTTGAGCAGTGGCTTGTAGTTCTCCTTGTAGAGGTCCTTTACGTTCCTTGTTAGTTGTATTCCTAGGTATTTTATTTTCTTTGTGGCAATTGTGAACGGAAGTTCGTTCTTGATTTGGCTCTCTTTAAGTCTGTTATTGGTGTATAGGAATGCATGTGATTTTTGCACATTGATTTTGTATCCTGAGACTTTGCTGAACTTGCTTATCAGTTTCAGGAGATTTGG